GTGAAAAGTGCAACGCAATCGATACGCAGCGCTTTCCACCCTCAACTTCTCCAATATTCCATTTCAACTTGCCGCGAACTCTCGCTGCTAGAGGCGAGGGGTTGCAGAATGTCTGTGATCTCACGTTTTTACTGTGGAGAGCTCAGCTAATTGCTTTCGGATTGCGGTCATCGACAACGCCTCATGGACTTGCCTAATTCGTGTGGAAATCCAGGATTCTCATCGACACTTTTTCGAGAAAAAGAGAAACAAAAGGAAGATAGCTGAGAAGCTATGGAAAAGGAGGTAGGCTCAAATGGGATGCGCGTAAAAAGCCCTTCTAAAAAGAGGAACGAGCACCATCTCAAAACGTTTTTCGAATGCTCAACCAAGAAGACTCAGAAGGCTGTGATTGTGAATGAGAAAGGTTTATAAATATTCCATTCCCACAAAATCTGACAGATCACCAGGTATGCCGAGGAACAAATAAACTCAATTCAGTCTCCTACGTTTGGCCTTGATCAAGTAAAAAAAACCCCTTCTACTTTTCGATCCCTTGTACACGCTACCGGACCATCCTAATTACTGTACGGGACTCTGACGTGCCCCTTAATTTAACGACATTGGCAGCTGGAAGGCGGGGCTTCGAGGCCCAAACAAGGCTGGAGAGAGCAGAGAGCACGATCGGGAGAGAGATGCAGACTGCGTCGCGGGAGCGAGCGGTAGTCTTCTAGCCGCCAATCCCGTTGAATCAAAAGGTAATATCAAAGCATTCTTAACATTATTTCATAAATATAGAAGTATAGAATCAAATGACTGATTGAGAAATGGATGATGCCGAATTTTTGAAAGGTTTTCCTCACCGGTGATATTTTGCTAATCATAACGAATTAGAAACTATGGTAGACAACGATTTGATACTTAGACAAAAATTTGAAGTCATAATAGATTCAGAAACTCTCCAAGGGCATACTTCGGGCCAAAGAATATGTGAGACACAAACTGAAGTCAAAAACCGCTTTCACGTTCCAAACTTTTCAGAACGCCCATGCAGACGGCACTGTTCACCACGATCTTCACTTAAACAGTACTGGGACTCGTGCAACCCTACAGAACTCTTGCATTTCGGCAGCTAACTAATCTAGGGAACTAGATTACATGCAAACACTATTTCGCAATCGCCGGCCGCTTTACACTCTCAGGCACTGAATCATTCAAGAAAGCAAGCTTATCCAGGCTTAGTAAGCGATTTCGCAAATACAGCTTCAGTATGTTTATGGCAAAACACTGCTAATGCTAGTTGTCCGTCCACCCCGACCCTATCGACGCTCATTGAGATTTCAAAACCAAAAGACGAAGTCGAAACAGAGTGCGAAAATAGCTATTGTTCAAGTACATCAGTAGTTCGTCGTGTGTGTGGGTGTAGACAGTAACAAAACGACACAATGGCCACCTAGGGCAGATATCAAGCGAACTTGATATATGCGCAGAACAGAAAAAAGGTATGGAAATAAAAAAATGAAGCGCTTTTCCCGCGCAAAGATTTGCTTTAGCAACTTACCCCACCCATTCAAACTGTATAGATGAATGTAGCTCGGACACGACCCACAACGCACTGTTAATTAAACAAATAAAATGAGTACAAGATGTACTTTTGCAGCTCCTAGCAATATTTTGAACCGGAACTGTTATATGCACTAGAAAACTGATTGTAGATTAAAGTTCGGCGATAATTTACCTTCGCCGGCAATTACATGATGTCACTTCAACCTAATTAGTACTAGGCGTACTCAATTTCCAAGGAAATTTTTGGAAAATGTGGTCTTGTAGCCACGCGTAATTTAATGCCACCCTCTATTAAGAGGAGGGTGGTGCACGCACAAACTTTTTCACCTTCTTAAAACAATCAGCTGCGATGAAAACACGAACTGAAAAAAAGAGCGCAGAAATTGAATGATTTTTTTTTTATAAAAAACGGCATCGACTGGTTTGAAGGCTTACGTGTGTAAAGCAAAGAGTAAGCGAACGATGCAGGATGAATGAGCAGGAGATAAAACAACAAAGATTTCGAATAGATTCGAGCATATTACAAAAAAGGACGACTTCCTGAGAGACAAAATAGGACATGTTCGGGCAATGAAGATTCTTGAAAACTTAAGTCATACAAATACAAAATTGGGAACCAAAAAGTATTTTAGAAAATGCTAGAACTTGTTTAGGATGACAAATGAGCACTTTTTGAATTGAGCGTGTCGAGTAGAATAGTGCAAACAATAAGTGCCAAATATAAACAGCAAGCTGTAATTTTTTTTCTCTAGCTTAAGTTTATTATTCACTACATATTGGTATTCTAGTGAGGGGCTGTTCGGAATACATTTTCCTCTTAAAGAGCACCAGCGAAGCAAAAACTTCCAAAGGCTCCGAAGAACTCATATGGTCATTAACGATACTTTGAAAACAAAAATCCACACCACTTTGAAGGAGGATAGGATACGATAAGATGGGGCGTATTTCCACTGATGTAAGAAAGCAGCTGTCACTATTTGAATTCCTGAAAATGATTTCGGGTACCTAATCTATCTGTACTCCGGATTGTACCAGGAACTGAGCCATGCCCATCAATGCTTGCCACAAGGCAGCACTCATTTTATTTGCTCCGTTTTTTTTTCTTGCAGCTCTGTTCATTCCCTCTCCATCGTTTTTACAAGCGAGGGAGAGGGGGTGAAAAGAAAGAGCAAAAGAGGAAATCTGATACCAGAAATTGAGTTCTTCCTCGACAGCAAAAACGCAGAATTCGCACACGACCGCAAGCGGTGGGCCCACTAATCTCGCAGCTCTGTTCGGACAAGTATGAGGTACCCCGATATGATCCTTATCTGTTCGAGATTATTTCAAAAGACGAGATTAATAAGTTTTTTTTTGCTATGTAGGAAAAATCGTTGATTCAAAGAATAATAATCTGGAATGTTTTCCTAACAAAAATTTCTGTTTACATAATGACACTCGAAGCACAGAAGTGCTAGAAAATGATGATACATCCGACGATAGATAAGCGGTTCGAGAAAAGAAGGATGACTCACTACTAGCCATTCATTTTTCTCGTGCAAAAAAAATCAAAGCTGATAGGAATAAAGCACCTTATAATAGAAATGAGCAGAAAAGCATCGGATTGTTGACTGTGTCACAAATCACGAATTTTGAGCCGTAAAAAGTCTAGTCGGGTGCAAAAGATAGAACACTATGAAGTAAATGTTCTAAATTGTGGTGAGCAAACCGTTCAATCATTGCGGCACCGAATAAATCATGAATATCCAATTCTGAACCAGCCACTATTAGCTGAAATATATAGTGCAAAATGAATGCTAACAAAGAACTAGGTTACATTGGAAATGATCGCTGCTGTAGTAACTAAATGGCTTTTCTCAATCAGCATTTTAACTCAACAAGCAAAGTTCCGGAGAATGTATGTTCCATACCGCAGAATTTTGCCAGCAAAATTTACTCGTCAAAATGCCAGTCATAAGATGCATAAAGACAAGTTTCGTTGGTTTATAAAGGTTGATCAAAAGAGAATCTCTTTCTTTTTGTAGTCTTAATCAGAATGCAATGAATACACAGCTTGTTTGATTATATTATTGTGAGCAAATGCATGCAATTGTAGCTGTGTCTGATCATGACCAATAAAGTTGAGTAGAAGCTCACTCTGCATGAATGATATTGCAGCTATGCCTCAAATATCAAAAACTCACTGCAAGAATCCGCACCAGCTCCCACAAATTTTACGAATAGCATTCCACTAGCACTTCACTAATGACATCATTTCAATGGTGTCCACATCAAGCGCATACGCATTTCTGCTCCACACATTCAAACATCTCATAGGACAAATTACGATAAAAACATAATCCTATAGCCCATATGCTATCGCACGTGGAAACATTTGCTGGGAGAAACATATGATAAACAAGATCTCAATGAAAGAATTGCCGCAGATTTAAGCAAAAAGAAACCTTTTCATTCTCCTCTCTTCCGTAATATCAACAAGTCGCACGGATGTTGTTATCACAGCGAAAATGACATGTACTTTCGACAAGCGTTTTGCTTTCATGGTATTAACGGAAAGGCAGATTGTCAAAGGATGTGCTGCATTAACTGTTTGATAAGATAACATCATAAAAAGTGCAACAGATCACATGAGCGGATGATTCTGCAGTGACAATAATTCAAATTTGCCCATTTTTAAAACAGCCAAAAACCAAGATATGTGGTGGGAAATTTCACACAAACCTGGAGGCCTAGATTTCAAAACCATGTGCGCTCATTTTTTGTGCGAGATTTTTTCCGATTTTGTGCAAATATTTCCGTCCATTTACTTTTACAGCTTTTATAGCGATGCCCATAAAACTGTTAGGCAATCCCACAGTAATCGATTGGGAATCATAAATACTCTGCGAATCTACGCCGGCCTTTCACCTAAAGTGCAAACCCATATCTTGGCATGCAGGCCACACTTTCTAAAAACACTACGGCTTGCACGGGGTCGATTGCAGCCCTCAGCTAGTCAGCACACGAATGTCGAGACTAGTTGAGATTCTGCCCATCGCTATCACCTTCTATTAGTAGCGGCACAGACACGATCATGTGATTTACGGGAGGCTTAGAATAATCCAACATATCCTAGGATCTAGTATGAAAAACAATTTACACAATTGCGCTGCTATTTCTAATAATTTGCCTTTATTCATTTGGCAATTTTGAAGTACCCATTAGAAAAAAGAATGACTTCTAAAGGGTCGTGTAAGCGGTTTCCAAATGTCACCTTTACAACTTAAACGTCCGGATAAGGCCGGAGTAGTATGGGCAATGATGTCACGGAAGAACAAAGAGAAGAAGGAAATGCTAAGTCCGTTTCAAATGGGACAAAGAAAAAAGAGACAGGTCAACATTTTCGAGCTAAGAAAAATAGATAAAGGTAAACAAAATGGAAAAACTAAACAGATAAGTTTGCATAAAATACTTACTGATTCCATTCCGGAGCAGCAAGAAGTTGCTGAGGATTCGGATAGGGGACGTAGTGCGGGTGCAACGGCGGTACCCGATCAGGCGAACGTGGTCCTCTTCCGTACGGATGGTAGTGCATCGGATGTTGTTCGGGTGAACGACTCCCGTGCGACGAAGGGATTTCAGGCCAACCGCTGGTCCAATCCTGATAGGAAGGCATCTGATGCACATTCGGAAGCGACCCGCCGAGCTGATTCCACTGCGGCGGATGCAGCGACGTCGACGGCGACGGAATGGCTTGCGTTTCGGTGCTGGTGATCTGTCGCACCTCGCGCATAATGCTGTCGAATGTGTTCACATCCTCGTTCTGCTTCCGATTCATAATCGCGATCTTCTCGGCGAATTTTCGCGGCGACGCGCCCGACATCGTGTTGGGGTCGCGACGGATTCAGAAGACGGCGTTCAACTACGACCTCACACTGCGACGAATACAGACGACGATCTCCTTGACGACTATTGACAGAATAGCATCGCACGATCCTCGTACAGCATTAATTCTAGTCGCCCGCTATTGATGTGCAGAGACGGCAGGGGAATACTAGAAGCCGCCACGCTCCTCCCACCCGAAACAGCACGCGCACAACCTTTACTTTTGGCGCGTCCTGAGCGGAATGCTTGCCTGCGGTGCTGTTACACTGGAGTTTTGCCAAGTCGGCACGGCTCAAATTTCAGCACTTCCGGTGTCGTTATTAGTCGCTTTTGTTCGCTGTTTATTGATCACAAAGAGCATTTGCAGCAAAATCTGAGCTTCTACATTTTCCAAGGGTTCCACGTGTGTTTCTGTCAGTGTTTGAGGTTCTTGGAGTATGAATTTGGGACTATTGGGCCGATTTATAGAAGGCAAGTGCTTCGGAGATCTTTTGTCTTTTATGCTCAGTTTAGTGAGAACAGAAGTTCGAAGGATGTGAACTTCATGTTTTCCCGTGAGCAGTTTCAAAAAAAAGATGTTGGGTTTGCATTTTCGATGCGTGCAACGGACAGTTGCAATTTTTGCCATTTTCAACAGTTCCGCTGACTGAAGAATCTGGTTATCTTGAATTTTATGTGCATGTGCACTCTCTTTCCTTTCAAACTGTTTTTGGTTGAACTTCAGCTACAGCTTCAATTGGTATGCAGAAGTAGATACCATAGGAATGTTGCCTTGACTACTTTCGCGTTTGCTTCCTATTACTGATGCTAAAGTTCTGCAGTTGATTAATGCAGAACTAAGTGTCGTTCGGATGTAGACACAAAAATTGCTGTTAGAAGGTAAAAATTTTTATTCATATTGCGAAAACAAAAGTTTATGCTAGTGACTTGAGGGCCTGGATTGAACCCTTAAGATTGATTTCTTCCATACACAACATTAACTGGGTTATTGTTTTGGTCACATGAGGCAAGTAGGTTTCACGAAATCTGCGAAAGATCTTGAGCTTTCATTGCAATGCCGCCACTGGTTGTTCCGCTTACAAAAATTATCCTGACACCGCGATTTTGAAGTATATTGTCTGCTTCTACCTTGTTTCTGACTCCAGAAATCACGCTTGATACTCTTTCTGTGCAAGAAATCTTTTGTTGAGCGAAGTGTTTATTTTGAGAAAGATGAATTGCTATTCGATTTGAGTGAAGTATAGCATAATGTTCCAGCCAAACCACCTTGGTTAGGGATTGTCTTTTGGGGATCATCTCAGGAAATCGAATATTTACATCGAATTACCGCACAAAGTGCTAGTGTTATGTGAACATAATAACCTTCAGCCAGTTAATCTTTGATTGTAGAACTGCTGAATCTTCAAAATCTTACAGAAACGCTTAAGAATCCATTCTTTTAGTGTGAATGAACTCCTATTCTCCTAACTGTGAATTTCTTCGGCAACCATCTTGTGCCCTGCTGAATTCTAACAAGATTGGTACTTCTTGGAGTTTCTTACAATAAAGTTAAATGATCAAAGAGAGCAGACAGCCAGCCAGTTCATCACAAGGCTATCTAATGGCAAGGTTGTCATATTCTCTAATTTACCTAATTATTGCATAAGGAGATCCTTTAAATAATTCGACACACTAAACAGAACGTAAGCAATAATTACACTAAAAGCAACGTAAATACCATTGAGTTAATGAGATTCGTTCGATTACAGCTAGCCCGTTAACATTTTATTTTTTGAAGGAAGGCAACTTTGGAGTAGATACTCTTTACGTATTCCTGTCCAGATCAGGCAATCTACTTGAGAACCTTCGTGCAGTAATTTTGTCGTACCACCCTTTGTATATGGGAACTTATTAGCAAAGTTTGTTTCGCAACAGTCATTTTTTCTGCGAAGTGGATATGATGGGCCGGATTATTCTTTGCTTCGTGCACTAAGTCTAGCTTCAGCCTGAGCTGTTCTCTGTATACTACACCTTCTTTTTTGCCAGAAACTTCAAGTTAGTCTATTCTTCTATGCTACTCGTTTGAGTAACATGATTAAAGTGTATTTTGTATGGCTGTGTAAGCCTGAGGGTTTTTTGCACTAGTGGAAGCAATCTTGCGACTTCTCTCAAAAGGTACAAACTTTCTCATGGAGCAATCCCACATCTATCTGCATATCCTTTGAATAGTGCAAGTATTCAGGAGCCCAACAGTTGCCGTCGTGACTCACTAGAGCCTCCGACCTGTTAATCTGCAGGGAAAAAAACTGCAAGAATCGCATTTCAAGGTTGTTTGTTCCAAAGCGCTGCCTTTGCATGTGCCACCAGTATTCGACTGTCACTGTAATCGCTATCAAAAAAAAAATAGCCAAACTTTTGTTTGGACTTTCCCTACCGCTTATCACAAGCTAAGTCATTCTGATATACATACTATTTCAACTATGAGGATTATCAGTACATAATCTTCTGTATGAGTCATGAAGAGTTTGATTATCGGTAATGCGGAACATTCCCTGACTATTCAACCGCCTATTTTTTTTGTCCAATTGCTTGTTCGTTGCTTTCACAACGAACAGAATAAAGCCTATCTAGGTGAGTACGGTGGAACTAATTTTTCGCAAAACTCTGCCTGTAATGGATCTACAGCGACTGGATGTAGTCTGTATACCCACAGGAACGAATAGTGACGCAGTCAGTAGTCGTATCTCCTGGTATGAATCCGTCAGTTTTCATAAAAGTTAACTGCGTGTATCCTTTACTTCACGGAAAAGTGTTGGCATCTTAATTTGCTAGTATCATCGTATCTGGCATAACTCTCTTACAAAAATTAGTTAAGATTTTTGTTGTGAATAACTACATTGTTGCAGTTGCGTGGGTAGCTTATACTCTTGTTTTCATACAAGCAAAGTTATCTTATAGATAAGCTGAATGTCTGTTTGTCTGTCTGTCTGTATGTATGTATGTATGTCTGTATATACGTATGTTCCGAATAGAAAATTCCATTTCTGAACCGATCCGCACCAAACTTGGCACACATACACTTCGGGCCCCGGCGGGTGTCATAGGCTACTTTTCGTCAGCGATCGATATCGATTTTATCGATTTTTTGCAGAATTTGAGCTACGGGGCTGGGAGTTGGCACAGGGGGGGGGGTAATCGAGCATGCTGATTAAGAATATAATAATGACAGGACCGGGCGGAGCCGGGTAAGTCAACTAGTAGTTTCTGTGCGTGGCAGATGACCCCGGCACTTCGCTCAGAAGCGCTCAAAAGCGCCCAAATTTTCTCAAACCTTTCTTCACTTTCTCGTGTGAGGAGGTTGAGGAAGTGGACAGCTAGGGAGATTTGAGCGCTTTTGGACGCTTTTGAGCGAATTCTGGCAGGGGGCCCTATGAAGACCTTTTCAGAGTGCTTCAAGCTTATTTCTATGCCCATGTCGTCAGTATCATGATAACTCGTAACGAAAAATTGCTTAGCACATAGCTAATCATTGCTGTTCATCAGGCTGAGCACTCGTTTTTATCATCATTTCTCCTTATGAACCTTTTCAGACCATGAAAAATTTTTTTGGGTGAAATATGTTTCTGTAATTTCTGCCATCGTTCTCGCTTACGGTCTTGTAATAATGGCTATGCTTTTCGAATTTGCAAACTCGCAAGCTAATCTCCTCGTCTTCTAGTGTTTTCTTTTTTCGTATTGAACTATTTTCGTAATTCCAATAATCACTCCACCGTCAGTGCCTCCTCCACGGCAAGATCGTAAATATGTGCAAAGAATTGTATTGGTGAAGTTAGGACAATTATAATGATTAGATTCTCTTCTCAAATTGTTTTTCAAGTGGATAATGGTTGAATGGGGTGAGAAACACCGCGAACGGCAGGGGAGTTTGGTGGAAGTGGCCCTTCTGAACAAGATCTATATCATTTTGAACAACGAACGGTAATTCCAGAAAATCTTTACTGCACCATTGGACAGTAATGTGCCCTTTTTGTATCCGAATGATCAATGATTATGCCTGAACAGGGCTCGGCACGAGGTGGCTAGATGAAAATGCAAAAAACGAAGTCCCCCTTGACTTTTGGGTATCTTTACGAAGTCCCCTTTGACCCTACACCATATTCTCTAAAAATTCTCCAAAAAACGAAGCGTCGACTAAAAAAACGCCGCCAATTTTGCGTGTCTTCGTCCACAAAAACGAAATTCCCTTTGCTTTTTGTCCCAAAAACGATATCCAGCTTGCCTGTAAGCCATCTGTGCCGAGCCCTGTGCCTGAATTGAGAGAAAAGTGATTTTTCACAATACTTGGTTTAACCATTCTCCCCCTCGATAGCCGCTGTCTTGCAGAGAGCACGTGGGCGATGACTTGGCGCAGCTGTGGCTATAGGATGCTGTTTAATAGTAACTATAACAGCTTTCATCGTGCCGCGGCATCATAACAACATCTTATTCATTGTGCTTATCTCGCTGCATAGAACGCCAAAGTTTTTCTGCAGCCCACATTCTGCCTGTGATTTGTTCAGCAGATTTGGAAGACGATTTTTTGGTATCGAAAAATATGAGATCATTCAGAGTTGTGATTTCCAACCTTCCAACTTCTCAGTCTATCACTTGGATCCTCTACAGAAAAGTAAGCTTTGAGAGCATTTGGTTTTGTCATTTTGTCTATTTTTTTTGTTACATATCCGTACCTACAAAGTCGTTGAAATGAACTTCCCCACCCCCCCCCCTTCAAAGTACCGAGGACATGATGATATTCATGCCGGATGTTGCCTCATGTGAGAATTTCTCGAATTCTTATTTGTATTCACTGTGGCATCATGCGCTTCCGGTTCTCGAACGTGACATTCTCTGTTTTCGATTTTATCTTCCCTCAACGATCGATATGTGTTGAATCGCCTGCACTTTTATTCCTTTGCTATCGTCTTTGTTCTCTATTAATACTGCTTCTTCCGTTGCTATTCTGTTCCGCTTTCTATTGCCTCGATCAAACACAGGCGATGTTCGTCATTAATCTTTAGCGTCTTTCTTGTTTGTTACACCCTACACAGCCATGGGGCGCTGTTACAATGTTTGCAGTGTTTTGTCTTTATTTTTTCTTCTTGGCTACCGCAGCGCTTCTTTTGAGAGATTTTCAAGGTTATGGTTTGTGAAAAATTTTTTGCAGGTAATCTATGATAAAATACGTAACAACATGGTAGCGTATGGAGATGATTCCTTCGAATGAAACCGTCTCATCGCCGAGCACAGATGGACCCGACGACTCATCTATGCTACAATCGACATCGTCGTCGAACTCGCGACTACCGGTCAGTTTCCGATCTGAGTGAGGCGAAAACATGTGCATAATATTCTATTAGTTGGCGGTAAAACGTGGTTATGTGGTACCCAGCTGTTGAGGGGGTTTAGGCTTATTGCGGACGAAATTGGGACTTGAGATCTCAGCTAGGGCGGTATTTATCTCCGGAAGAAGAAAGAGGGGAAGGAATGCGCAGCAGTCTTGAAGATTCCAAGGTTGCTTGAAAAAAAAAAGAAAGATAAAAAGCTACTTTACAAATGATGTGCTCTGGTGCTTTATAATATAAAAGTTCTTAACTCCTTGAAAAAGTTTGGAAATCAATTTTGGATGTTGAAAACGATGCGTGGGACGATTTTCTGGGGAGGACTGCAAATATATTTTTGGAATACGGCAGGACTGCTCAGAATTGTTAAAAATGTTGACACAATTTTTCATGTCTGTCCCTGTTTTGTGCATTTCTATGCTTGACTTCATATATCCATGGATACATCTATGCATGAAGTATAAACATACAGGGCGGGCAGTTGCTCTGTGGCAAACTCCGTCCACTTTGACAAATTGCTGAAATTTGACAGCCTCCGTTCAGCAATTTTGGAAAATGGGGAGCTAGCCGCTGAGGGGTCTCAGACAATCGCAAAATACTTCCGGAGAAAAGTGAAGTTCTCTTTTTGGGGGACACTCCTAGTGGAGCTGCCAGGTAGGGCGGGGCCCACCCACACGACCCATTAGGAACATCCGCCTCGGAAGTTTTAGAAGTTCAGTTTTCCACGAGATTATTTTGCTGAGCTTGCCTGATGAGAGGCGACGCCGACATTGAAGTTGTTTAAGGTTTCGTGATCGTCTACTGCCCTCAGATTCTATGCTTTGAGCAGGAAGTGGGGCTCTTGTAGAAGGCAGTAGAATGGGTGGGGTAGGCGGGGTTTGCCAAAGGGCGATAGGCCATTATGAAATGCCTTTAAGCATAAATCAGTGATAACAGTACAAATTGGGTGTCTCGGTATAACAGCTTTGAAAACTTTGACTTTGAAAACCGGCAGACATGCTTTGATCGTATCCATTGGAGGCATACGTTGTTCGAGGTAAGGTAGAGGACATTAGATCGCCGATAGGCTCCACGTATGCGAACAGCTAGCATGAGGCAAATGCCGGCGTGGGACCTCCCCTTTCAGCGACCTAATGGCTTCTACCCTTTGAGCTGTTTAAAATTCTCGTTTTAGCACAAGCAGTACTTTAACATTCAAAAATATCATGTTTAATACCTCCGCTTGGATTCAGTCAAACTTGCCATTTGCTAGAAATGCTGAATTTTCACGCACTGCTTGCGCTGATCTTTTTGGCACACAATGAGAAACGAAAATAGAAGGCCAACTTCAACTAGGATATCAGCCAGAGTACGCAGAAGACGGAGGCTAAAAGATATCAAAAGTTTTTTAGTGAATTTCTGCGCTAACAATGAACCTTCAAGTCAAAAATCTGATTCACTTCTAAATGTGGCTAAGGAGAGAAGTAGGGTCAAGCGCGGCGTGGATGACATGTGTAATGTAACTTAAATTATCGGATCAAATAGGGGTTTACGTGTATCTATAAGTGAGAGGTCGTCCATTTATTCTGACTCATCTGCCAAAATATCGCATATCAGCACTTTTAACTTTCTTGCAAGCTTTTGAAATTTTGATGTTCTACGAATGTCTCTAGCAAAAAAATTTCCTGTGCTAATAAGTGAAAGGTCTTAGGAGGGAACAACGTACTACCAGGGTTGCAATTTTTCAAGTATAATGTAGACGTGAAGTGGCGGTAATAAAGTCGAGAACTGTAGTACTGACTTTCTGTGGCGCTACTTTTACAACAACTTCTTCTGAACGCATTTCCGAGCTAAACTGACCCCCTCCGATTAGTGCCGCTCCTGACTAGGCCTTGGGAGAGGGACAGTGCGTTTCCGGTCCTCAGTTGTTTTTGAATGAAGATAATAAACCTGGAATAGCCAAAGTGCCATCAAGCCCCGCCCAGATCTTATCAAGCTTTACCCATGTATAGAACGCCATCCGCGCCCTCATGAGGGTCCCCACAGACAGAATTTTTGGGGGTGGAAACTTGAACTTCATGGACAGGACAGGTTCCCTTGAGATCGGGTTTTTGGGGAGGGGATGTTCCTGCTGGAAGCGGACAGTTTGCACTCTTTTAAGTTTGCGCTCTATATTTTCCGGTATTTTTCCGTTATTCGGACTAATTTTCTCAAAATGTCCTCATGGAATACCTGTTTTAACTCAGAGATTATTTTTTCATGGATCTTGTGAGGACTGCCTCCTTGCCACATCTCAAGATAAAAATTAACACGTTTGGAGCCATTTTGACCTGTTTTTTCAAATCGTAATTGCTGGGGTACGAGAGCATTTGAAACGACTCGAAAGCTGATCAGGAGTCTTTTATGAGAGCAAAACAATTCAAACGTTTAATGAAACATCTTGGTACTCTCACCAATGATTCAAAGAAATCCTGCTTTTGCTTGCTAAGCCCTGAATTTTAGATTTTTTCAAGGTGTATTTGAATTTCAAAATTTTGCAAAAATTATTTCAACTATATGCTGTACCATCCAGCATCGGTCATGCGACGTCGCGCCAGCGGCAACTTGCGACGGTGCGATGTGACGCGCGCGAACTCTGCCACGTGTTAAAGCACGTCGCATGCGGCGATGCGTCTTTGCAAGGCATATTAGGCGAGACCGATGCTGGCTGATACGACCTATATTATCTATTTTTCTCCGCTATGTGACCTCCTTACTTAGATCTCTATGTTTGAATTTTCAATTTGCAGCAGTCGCAAGTGGCATCACCCTCGGAAGCAACGGGTAGGCCATGGTATCACGGCGAGATTTCGCAGACGGAAGCGGAAGTGCTGCTCGATGTTGCACAACCTGGCCGCTTCCTGGTGCGTAAGGCCGGTCCGACAAGATACTTCTTGTCGTGCGTGACCGGTAACCACATGCTGCTTCATTTACCGTAAGCTTTTTCTAGCTTCCATTTTGCTCTAGTCGAATAATCTCACCCCATCGAGAGTGAGCATCTATATTTTGGAATTCCCTCGCTATGAGCAGCTGCTCGAAGCTAGCACCTGCTATTTCTATCAAATGCATGTGCAGTTCGAGACACTTTTTGTAAACAGTTTTGATTTCATGTGATACTTTAAGAATCCACCAGCTGGGACGTTTCTTCTATCTGAATGCTGGAAAATTCACGACCCTCGCTGAAGCAGTGCGGCATCATTGCGAGATGGTAGACTCGGCAGAACCAGTGAATGCTCCGTTTGCCAGTCCGAACCTTCCCATCATGGCTGTGAGTTTGTTTGCATTATGTCCAGTATCTTTTCTTTGAATAGGTTTACCAGCATATTTTTTGGCTGTACATCCACTATATAACGAAAATTTGTATCATTCCACTCATTTGGCTTTATTTATATAGAAAACGTCTTTTTAACATCACTTGCGTCAAGGTCATTCTAAACAGTGGCAAGCAAGTGAATAGGAGGTTGGAGGTTAGGGGGAGTGGGTATATTTCTGGTTAACTAATCACGATTATAGGTTTATCCCTACTTTCAAAGAACGAATCTCAAAATAAGCGGATTGTTTAACAGTGCCCCACATTGTTCACGGGGATACCCGTTCGTGATTTTTTCCAAATCGAACGTAACGATGTTAATCATGTTGAACACGCATTTAAATCTTCGCTCTTCAGCTCAATATCTGATTATGCAGCTCAGCAGTTTGACATGAGGCAATGTTTTTAGAATGGATCTTGCCAAACTCTTGAATAATCAATAATTATATCGAATTTTACAAGAATTGTTCGATTTATAAAGGCCATTTTTGCACTGAGTGCTACTGCTAAACTTGAATGCTTTCTGCTTCATTTCCCGTGTTTACTTCGTTATGTTGTAGATAGTAGCATATGGTGGGTTAAACTGTCTTTATTTTAGGCTCCCCATAGCTCACATATGCGTAGATTTTTATGCCTGACCAAGTGCGAGGATTTGGCAGATAATGACGAATTGAGGTGGGTGTTTTAGTTGTTTATCTTCCAAATTTTTTATTTGTAAACATATATGTAAGATGTACCATGAGCAGTTCCATCTATGGTTTTTGTTAAGTAAATGGGATGTAGATTGATCCCATGTTTTTTACTTAGGTAAATAGAATGAAACGGTAGTCTGAACGCCCTTTAGCGGTGTAGTATCCTACTTCTTTTGATTCCATGCATTAGGTCATTTTCAGCTCGTATAATTCAATATGTTTATTCTGGGGTATCACCATCTGTGTCTGGGAGCGTAGTTGTCCATGTAATTTGAAATGATTGTGTTTCCAAACATTCATAATGAAAATATCTCATGTAGGTTGATCTTTGCTCACTTCTTGTTTGGTGGGGAATTATTTGTGAGGTGGAGTAATCGAATCAGAACGATGCAGGTGCAGTCACATAAGTCTGTATCAGGGTGTTTTGTGTGTGTAGCGCAGTCGTAGAGAGGCATGTTCTCATTTTTCTTTCCAAATCGTTTGCTGTATCCAGCTGAGCGCAGAAGAAGGAGATCGTTAATCCATGAAAATTTGGAGAGGTAATTATGTAAAATGTGCATTTTTGTTGTGGAATATTTCGTATCCAAAAGTTGAAGTTTATTTTTATTCTATAACTTTTCAGTACATCAAGAGGCGATGTCGTGACACAACTACGTATTCTGGAGAACGGCTTTATACTGGCTAAAAATGAAAACACGGGTCAAACGGGTTACCTATCTGCAAAATCAATAGAACCTGTTGTGAGTTTTTTTTTTTCAAATTTTTTTGTCACTGTTTAAATGGTTTTCTCCATATAATTTGCATCACCATTATCATCATATCGAGTGGAAAGAATTCGGTGGAAGGTATGATGAAAGTTTTGCACATGTAGGAGGAATATTTTGGGATGATAATTATGGCCTTCGCCCAGGGAATTTTCAGCAGTTTTATCATAACGCTATACCACACAAAGTCACGAATGCTTATTATACTCTGCTATCTCCGGTCGCGTTTATACTCATTACGAATTCTGATAATTTGCAAAACTGAATTCTGCGTTGACGCTTCCATTATCTGTGGGTGGCCTGTGTTATTCGCATGCAGGATGGCTTGTGTAGGCGGCGTCAATAATGTGCATGTCGTTTGCGGTCGGAAGCAATGCTTGAAATTTAAGCCGGATGTTCCATAGAAACACTTGCGACAGGAAAACCCAGTCTTTTGAATCTTGAAATTTGTATGATGTGTATATCTCCTTTTCATGGAAACCACAAGATCAATGTTTCATAGTCAGATTTATTCCATGTATGTTTATAGGATGACCTTGTTTGATCCCTAGAGCTGTGACTCATCTTTTGCGCAAAACTGTACAAAATTTCAAAAATTGGTGATGCATTTCATATTTTTTCTGGAAACTTAGACTTTTTGAACGATTGTGGTCTCTTCAATTTTGGATGTTATTCCGTGTTGAATGAGGGCGACAAAAATAGATTGCGTCTAGCAGAAAAACTAATATTTGCTTCTACATTATCATCCCAAGATAATTTCCATTGATTTTTATAGTAATCTACAGTGAGACTCGTAACACATCTCGTAATCTATGGTGATGATTCGGTTATATTGGAAAATCATGATGAATAATGATGATTACAATTACTTTTAATCACCATTCATGATGACACCTAGGTTTGCGTAGGTGTGCATGAATGAATTTTTTGTTTGTAGTCAATAAAGGAATTAGCACGGCAATAGACGCCCCTACATCATTAGTGTTCATGTTAGTGTTTGCATTACATCTGCCTTGCTTTCTGCTCGGCTTATGGAACTTTCTGGTTGTTTTTGTTTGACAGTGCCAGCTGCAAGAATGACTTGGAGCCAAAATTCTTCTATTTTGAGCATATTTTTTTCCGATTCCAGGGGCTAAGAATGTGTCATTGGATGGAACCTTGAAATTTTGTTCTTTTGGTCCTAGAAATCTATTCCCTTTTATCCATATGTTTATTACTTTTAAGAGACATAATTATGCCTACTTTTCTAGAAACTTATGTTCATCTTCGAAGGAAACTTTCGTAGTTATCTGGCCGTCCTGGAGTGGGTCACTAGACAACCACTTGAATGTACTTCAAAGAACGTTGAAGAACTTCCATCATGAAAGTACCATGACTCACTTTCACTTACCTTCACCCATTTTTTGACGTAACTACTTCATCGCGTTTGGCTTTATAACTAAAAATTACGATTTACGATGACGTTGATAGTAGGCGGGGCGTTGTCAAGTTTGTCGCCCACACGTCTACATTGCTAATGTGGGATCACTATTATTAATGGTGAAATCACATACATGGTTATGTGTCAGTCGCTGACAGTTTAGTGTGCCTTTTTGTTTCTAATCTGCATACTGTCAAGATTGAACTGGCAAATGCAAATCAAAATCTTGTCCTTTTGCATGTGACCTAGTACATATTGGGAGTTGGTCCTGATATGATCTGGTCTAATTTGATATGCTCTCAATTTAGATGTGTACTCTGTTATGGAGAGATGTTTTGTGATTATGATTTATTCGCTTTTGTAAGTACTTTTGCGCGTACTTTCGTTTCACATCGATTTACCTAACCCCAAGCTTCAAGCAGCTTATTGAAATGTAGGCGTAAGCAAAGCTATGAGGAGTAGTTCCATCAACATCTGATTATTTCAGCGGAAGTTCTTTCTTTTTCATAATTCTTTGTTGTTGGGTAGTTTGTATTCCCAAGTTTTTGTTTTTACAACTTGATTTTTCCAAAATTGATTATCTGTATTTCAGCTAACAGAATCGTTGCGTGTTCACGATTTGCCATATTATCATCCATCTTTGACACCTGAAGCTTTAAGAATGCTTACATGCGGTGAGTTTATTGCACATTTTCAGTGATCTCGGTCAGCTAGATTGATTTCACGAAATCCGTGAGCTTTATCTGCGTTGTTGTTGTATATGAATGGGATGAATTCCGCCTGAATCATGTGCTACTTCCCTTAGGGGTTTCTGCTTTTTCAAGACCTTATACAGCCGGAATGCGGAACCTGTTTGACAATGACAATGAAGCAAATTTTTTGATGGCGAGGATTAACCTAATTTTGTGCATGAAAACAACACTCTTCTCAATTGCGTGTAGTTAAGTTAAAGTCTGTTAATTGGGTTATATCGTAATGGTCTTATGGACTTGTGGCGATACATTTTGCTTTTGAGCATTACAGTGGTAATGCTTCTTTTTTTTGAGGAAGAGTAGTTTTATCGTGAAGCCGGTGTGTAACTTTGTGGGGTCTCATTGGCAGTAGTGTTCCAGACCATGCTCCTTTCAATTTAATTTTTTGTGAACTCGTTTTCCTGGTACATTTACTTCATATCGTACTGCTCTCCATATGTATGCCACTGTGTTCTAGCACTAGATTTGTTTTCAAAAGCATTTGTGATTTTTTTGCAGAAACTCAGTGCTTCCGGTGAAAAATCTTCCGCGAACTTTTTTGCATCTGAGTGACTCTTTCTGAATGGAAAGTGTTTATTGCACAGAACTTTTTAGATTTTAAAACCGGAAGAATGGTCGTTTTATTCATTGTGATGTCACTAAGTTTTATCAGTTTTTCGAAATTCGAAGAAAACTTATCATGGTTTTGTTTTTCGTGTAGTCCTCATCAACTCCTTCAAGTAACAGACACTCAGAAAATCATTACCGTACTTTCCTACTCTTTTTGGACTCAAATCTTCACCATTCTATCATTTTGCTCCCCCCTTCCCCTGATTGCTAAGACTACTACTGTACTTCATAGCTGTCCGCGTCGTTTCCATTCGTCACTTCCCGCTTCTGGGATTGCCGAAAAAGACATTCGAACATTCTCAGAAGCTGTGTGGCTTATATATAGTCACAAGCACATCTAAGAGGTCTAAATTAATCTGAACCTCATTGAAATCCTGCTGAGCCACCTCTTTTACCCTCCCCCAATTCCATAGCTTCAAATCCAGCCCTCAATTGCCCCACAGCTATGCCAGTGCTTGATTTTTGAAGGAAGCTGTTGTGTTGAGTAATGGATGGTTATCCTGGGAGTATAGGCATAAATAATGCTAACACTCCCTCACTCATCCGTGTACATGCGATGTTTTCAGTGTTTGAACTCTGTCTCCTACTTATGAGCGCCGCCTTTTCTTTGCTTAATCCTTTGAAGTTAATACTAATCCAGTTGTAGTTGACTTTTAGGTTGGCACCTAAGTTCTGCAGCTAATTTCATTTCAATGTTTTCTAGGGCAGTCAAATATGAGCTATATGTGCCTGCTTGATTTTTGGTAATAAAGTGAAAAAAATTCACGCAGTTTCCGAGAATTGATTAATTTCGGAGCTTCGAAGCTGAAAACCAAAAAATGAACCCATCTGCAGTCTGAGCAACAAGCTGGAATTCTACAGATAGTTGCTGGATGAACCTTCAACAGTCAATGTATAGTTTCGTCATGTATTTGATTTAGGCTGCGGACGGCCTCGTTTTGTTGCTAGCGCAATGAAATTCCGAATTTGACCATTTTTTGGAAGATGCGTGAATTCTTTCTATTTCTCTACCGTAAATTAAGCGCACATTTTTAGCTTATTGCTTATTTCCACTATGACAAGAAAATGAGCGAGCCACAAGAGAAACAAGAGAAAAGTAAGTATGATTAATTACAAAACTCAGGAGCCAATCCAGTAGGTCGCAAACTTTCTGTATGTAGAATTTCAACTTTGTTGACCTTTACACGTAAATGCGTTCAGAATTTCTCTGGATGGCTATCAAAAACTGAACCCCCCCCCCCCAGAAAAAAAGGCTATTCAAAATATGGCATTTCTTTCGCTCTCTTTTCCTGGGGGAATATCTGATTATTTACCACTTTTTGGTTACGATCATGATAACATGTTTATACTTTCTGAGTGAAAAAAATCGAAGCAGAAACATGGGACCTGCTTCTCATGGTCAAAGAATTTTGCCTCTTATTTGCCATCCATTTATCAAGTTTTAAGGTTTGCCAAACTCCTCCATATAATTTTTTGCCCCCCTCAGTGCATCATTCGGTCCGTTTCAGCTTTCGATTTCGACCCTGTACAGCACTTCCGGTCTTGAAAAACCAATCGTAAAGCTACACGTGCGAATGTGTTCGCTAGTTTATTCATGTACTTTCGATGTTTTCTATGAGTGCAAAAAATATGCAGCTGTTTCGCTATGATACGTTGTGAACTCTGAAGATGTGGGTGGGTGTGTGTTGAGAGACTCAACAACTCAAATTCATTCACATTATGCGTGCCAGACAGTTTTGTCTCATGTCAGTAATTTTCCCATTTATGAGACCTCATGACCGTCAGTAGATTGCGTTGTGCAAAAAAAATGCGGCTTTGATTTAAACCCTAGGGTATTAGCGAATTCCATAAATGCTAAAGCTGTCATTGGCGGCGAGCTGAGCGCTTCGAACACCCACGCTTTGCAAAAATAGTGCGTTGAGGCGAAATCCGCTTGTCTCAAGCGATTCGGTGCTGCTTTATCAATTCAGAAAATGCTGCTCGAGGCAGCGAGCACATTGCTGTACTTTGTGTTTGTCAATGAAACGTGCCCTTTTACATTCTTGGGATTTGAGAACGTATCGAAGCTTGAGATTCTTACTAGGCCCGTTTTGGTTGAAAATCTATGCTTCTTCGGGGCACCCATTCTCAAAACGGGTTGGATTTAAATCACAGCAAAATAATAAATTTGGCCGAGCACATCTTAAAGGCAAGGTCTACCCAGTCTTAGTTCAGCAAAAACCTCAACTAAGTAATTGCCTTAGTCTCGCTGCATAAAGATAATTCCGAAGCGGGCAAATCGCTTCAGAAGTTATTTGCAGACAAGTCCGTCCCGCCCATCATCGTGGGTGGTCCAATTGTAATGTGTGCTAAATGGGCTACAAGTAGTGGATATGTCGAAATCTGTCCTTCATCATCAAAACGAAACAGATTTTAGACAATTCTAGCTACTTGTAGCTCAATTTGGTGATCATTATTTCCGGACCACACACGTTGATGGGCGGGACCTGACATGGCAGTAGGTACTTTCTGGGGCAATTTTCGCTTTGGATTCCATCTTTTGCAGCAGGACTTGGATAGTTATTTGGATAGGGGCCTCATTATTAAACCACATTAATCTCACCACCCTCAGTTTGAGTGGACGATGTCGTTAAGTTTAGTTTAAAAACCTAATATCTTATGTCCCATAAATTATTGTATTGTTGTCCGTATACAGGCGCAGACAATTTGTTTTGAATCTCTTTCTCGTAGCGAAGGAAGTACAGGGTGAACATAGCAAATAATGTTTACATGATTGAATTGCGAACAGACGCGGGAAAAAGCAGCGAGCGAGGTTTTCATTTCCGCACTAAAGGTGGGCGCAGGCGGAACTTATACATCTTGTCGTACTTGAGAGAAAAGTGCTGAAAATCGCTCTCCATGTACACACTCCTAATGAACATAACCATTTCCGGTACAACATTCGTATAAGACAATTGTTTACAAGCTCTTTGAAATTTTTATGTTATTTTGAATGTGGAAATTGCATATTAATTTGTTTGAAGGTTGAATTGAATGTCGTTACCTGTTGACTTGGCTGCTTTTTAATGTTTGAAGGTTAAATCAAATACCTGTTGATGGCTCTTTTTTTGTGCATGCACCTTGCTAAAATCCACGACGTTGCACTTCCCAGGCAACGGCTTAGCAATTACCCTTGAGGAAATTGTGGGAAGCTTTAGAGCATTCCAGTGATGTGTGAGATGATGGCAGGCTGCCTTTGAATTTCACCATGGCTGTTTGTTTGGCTTTTCTACTTTTTCTGTAGGTTAGCGAATTTTTTGGGAAGTGCTTCTTAAGTTTTTGGGAAGTACTTTGAAATCTATGTATTGCGTCTTTTTTCTCTCTGTTAGTCACTAATAAATCCCCAAGAGGAAGAACGGGATTTTTCTTTTGTCACGTCTAGCATTTCCAGCGTTGTTGTCGTCCCACAGTTTCTTTATGTCACAATGTAGAGTTCCACAGCCTTTTCTCTTCTTTCATCTCTGGCCCTCTTTCAAAATCTCGAACTTCTAACGAAGCAGATCAAGCAGATACCCATTACGTAATCATAGTCTCGTGTAACGTTGAAAAATAAGGACACAATCGGTTTTGTCATTATAAATACACTTTTTTTTACTTTTGAGCCTTATCTATTTTCACATTCGTTAATTTTAGTGGAATTACTTGAAATCATGGTTCTTGTGATTTACAAATGTCCTAATGGCTTTTGATTCATCACTAGGAATTATATTCCGTAAAATGTATGCCTGTGTGGCAAACTGGACAATTCTCCTGTCCTTGTAACTTTGATTCTCATATTTGTGACATAGTTTTCTGATAGTGTTTTGCTATGTCTTGACTGCTCTGATAACAAAATTTCAGTGGGTGCTGGTGCATTTCTCGTTCGAACTTCAAGTCAAGGTGCTGACGCATTTGCTCTGTTGGTGAATACACGGAACAAAATTGAGAAGTTTCTTATTCGTGGCTCTGCACAAGGCGCTGAAGGATTTCTTCTCGCTGGCCGGCGTTTTCCATCGTTGCAACACATCATAGACAGGTGATTTTTACATATTTTTAGCAATAAATGGCTTGGGGTTTTTGAAATGCAAAATGTTTTGTGACAGCATTTGACAGGGCATCGTAAAAGTCTGTTTAACGCATTTAGCTTACTTTTGAAGTAATGTTGCGAAGGGCTGAGCTCAATAGAACTACAACATAGGGCATATCGAGCGTTCATAATCATTCTGAGATCACTGTAGAAAGTTCTCAGCGGTCTCACAGCCTGTGAATCAAATCTTGCAAATAAAAGCTCCAAAAAAGCGTGAGAACGTCAGGACGCCTCTGACTGACCTGGAGTGTGATTTTTCGCACCAGTTCTTTGAGTTTACTGTAACGATAGGTTTCTCAGTGGCTCTAAAAATTCTACTAGATTGTCCTGTAGTTTCGCTCTGAGTCGCGTGTGAGAAGTTTTTCGCGGGGAAGCACGTACAAGGTATAGGTTTACTATATAGTGCAAAGTATGCACGCCTTATAATTGCTTATTTGAGAGCTACCAATCCTCAGGGGCAAAGTTTACCATCTTGTGCCTATTGTTATCTATGGATATATTGCGGCATTTAGGTAAACGAAAGTGTGTTTCATTTTTCAACATCTCGTGGATGATCTAGAAGTTGGGAAGTCTTTAGATTTTGTCTTAATATAGGTTGAAATTAAAATTAAGTGTTTGGTGGTCACCTTGTCGTTGCTTCTGATCGAATTAAGCATGCCCACTGGAAAATAATGATAGTCTTCTTTCTGACCTTTCAAAGCACCAATTTGATGGTGGTGGAATTCCAAAGCTGTATGATAGCGGAGCCTCTGAGTAAAAGCCGCCCAGTCCCTCTGCATAAGGGAATTTCTTAAGCGAGAAAAATTGCTCCACAATCGGCAGGAACTTGTGTACCACCCATCAACGTAGGTGGTCCGAAAGTAATGTGTGGAAAATGGTTCAAGTTGCTAGAAATGTCAACAGTCTGTTTTTATGTTGGAAGAGAGATTTTCGACATATCTAGCTGCTGGGAGCCCTATCTGACGCGCATTGCTTTCAGACTACCCGCGATGTGCGACACGGACGTTTCCGCAGGTAACTTCTACTCGGACATTGAAGGGATACCTCCGGGGGCAAATGCTGGGGGTCTGCCACTTCGTGCTCCGGAGCCCTTCCATTTCACGCTTGGTGCTCCGAGCTTTTCCAAATCTGGCGCACCCCCGGAGCAGAGATTTGCGAGCACTGGGGAGGGGTCCCGTTCTTTCTCTCCTTCTTGTGACGTCGCGGTGACGTCACAAGAAGGCGAATGGGACCCCTCCTCGGTGCTCGCAAATCTCTGCTCCGGGGGTGCACCAGATTTGAAGGAGCCCCGAAGCACCAAAACGTGTGAAATGGGAGGGCTCCGAAGCAATGAAGTGGCAGACCCCCGGCATTTGCCCCCAGAGGTATCCCTTCGACCGTCTGAGTAGAGCGACTTTCTCGCTTCGGCGTTCATCTTTCGCAGCGGAAGTTGGGCAGCTACTTATTAGGGTCCGCGCTATCGCTCCACGCTAAAATCACCACCCTCAGTTTGGGTGAGCGGTGCTTAAATTCTCGGTGGCAGTGCACTCTATCTGTGAACTTGCTTGTTTCAGGTACTGCGTCCATCCCATAGCAAGCGACGTTCGGCTAACGCATGCCGTTTTGCCATCGACTTCGTCACGACGTCCGAGCGCAGAAGTCGAAGCAAATAACACTGAGTCGGCAGTGATGACTACCTCGGACTGGCCGCCAAGCACCACGTCGGTTGAGGCGACATCCGATTATGTGAATCATAACTGTGCCTCACATACGGTTGCAGCCGTTCAAGCCTTGAGAAAATGTGGGTTTTTTATGTGGCGGTTTTTAGGCGAATTTGGGACAAGGCTTCTTGTATGGATTCTGATAGGTGGCGTTAACGGAAAATGGGTAGTTGCCAAGCAACATCTGAGACGATTCATTCACGACCGAGACATGCAATTTCAAGCGGTCCACCAGTACCGTACTCCAATGTAGACAGCGTTCTGGACAGCAGTTCAAGCGTGATTTTTTGGCAACGAATGAAACTGACTGCCTGGGCATTGGCTTAGTTGTGACCTTCTCATTAGTGTTTTTACAAGAAATTCTGGGGGATAGAGGTCTAGATCTATCCGGATACCAGTGGCGTACCCAGGATTTCGGCTCGGGGGGGGGGGGGGCGCGACGAAAAATTTTTCTTGATGAAGGTGCGTTGCGTTAGCCACGCGCCGAGAAAAAAGTTTTGGCATGTTTCTCAAAGTTTTCGCGGTCCCATAACCCCAAAATTTTAGAAAAAGGGGGCGTGGCGTCAGCCACGCCTCCAAAGAATTTTTTTTATGAGGCTAAATTGAATTTTTAAAAATTTTAAAAAATTATTTTAATTATTTACAAGTATAAACAAGTCACTTGCACGTTTTTATAACCCATATAAGTATCTTTCAAAAATTTCGCGACCCATTCTCGGGGGGGGGGGGGCGCTCGGTACGCCACTGCCGGGTACCTATTCTGAAGTCAGTTCTTGAGAAAAATGTTTTCTTCTTCAGCTCGGGAAGAAAAGGCGTGGAAACCGTGTTGGTTGACGTTATGCGACGATCCAAATGGCGGATGTGAGCTGATCATCTCGGATACCGAACTGGTGCGATGCTTGTTACTGCTTTCTATTTTCGTGCCTATAAAATTATTTTCAGAGCGCTAAAGCCAGATTGGTTCTTGATTTGGCGTACTGTGTGATGTATCTGCTTGACGATTCCGTGTTTTCGCGGGAGGGCTGCGTGTTCTTTTCGCAAACGGATATCGACCTACCCGGTATATATTTGTGTTTTCGTCCAACGCATGTTCTCATCAAATGGTTGGAGCTGTTGAGGTTAGTCTCCCATGTCTAGTGATTAAATTTTTTGATAATTTCTTGTTCAGGCCAAGAGTTTTGGGTCTTCGAACGGGTGCAGTGCCTGTGATGATCGGATTGCAGTTTGAACCACCGAAACAATCCTATGTAGCAGTTTTGCAGCTACATATTGATAAGTATAGGTGGGGATAATTGCTTTTTTCTGCCTTCTCGAATCACGCTATACGTTACAGGTCGGAATCTGTGAAGCCTGATGGATTTTATTCAGCTTATGGGATGATTTGTGGAATCAAGGTTGTTTTTTTTGCTTTTTTTGTTAAATATCTTATGTCCTTTGTGTAGGTATGCAGTACGCCTGTTATCGTTGCTTCATCGAGCAAGGGCGCTCCTCCTTCGGTCATATTTGACTGTTCTTTCTTGTTACCGTGAGTATCGCTTTGGCTGTTTTCCTTGCTAATAAAGAAGGACTGTGCGTATTAAGGCTAGTCCCTCCTGAGAATGGCACTTTGCAATTCTCCGTATTGTCACATCCTGGAGGTGGCAAGAAGAGCAGACCTTTGGGAGTATCGGCGTTATTCTCACTGCCTGACGCGAGATCTCATGCTGATGCACCCGAATCGGGCTTTACTTTTCGCGCAGCACGATATCGGATCAAGGTGTTATCACTGGATCAATATGCTCCTTTGATGCAGTACTTGAGGTCAGTTCTCCTACGGAATGTTTTTGATCATACATCAGATACCAATCTGTCAAATCTATTTTGATTTTTAGAGAGGGAACAGCTGAGTTATTAGAATGGGCATCAGATGTACTATCTATCCAGCAGCGATCTCTTCTATGCTGGTCGATTGTCTCACTTCTCCTTCCTACTCGAGATGATTTGTTGCACCTGATCAGGTGATTATTCTATTATCATATTCTATTGCGGTCGCTAATTTTCGTGTTTACATATCGAAATTTTTTCTTCCAAAATTTATTCTAGCCGACTGATGCGAAGGGTCTTGGCAGCATCATCGCCTGACAATGTTATGAGACAAGATTCGCTGACGACCACATTGCTTACACAAGCTCTGCGAATCGCTGGAAGATCAAAGCTTGAAGATGCATTGGAAACTCTCGGAGTTTCCGGCGTGAAAGTGTTTCAGGTAATTTTTTGTTGCCACGATCTTAGCTGTTTTCTTGAGAGGTGGTCGTGAATGTCTGTATCTACTGTTTTCTATTTCCAAAATGTCCTAATTTGCATAGTTGATATTCGGAATACTTTGGTTACTGGCTTCGAATTAAATGTGCGGAGCTAATGATTTTCTTTTATCTAGCAAGCGGATGTGGATCATGTCATCGAGATGCTGGATTCACTAGTCACGCCTGAATCACTGCTCAACGATCTGCTTATCAGTGTAGCCCAGAGTGCTCGAGAACGATTTCCGGATGAGCCTCACATTGTGCGAAGAGTACTGAGGTCAGTGAAGTCAAAGTAAACTTCATTGACCCCTGAGAAGTGATATAGAGAACACTTTTGGTTGCGGACTAGTGCACATTGCTTGCGCATTCGTCGCGTCTGTTTGAAAAATTTTCTTTCAGCAATGTGTATATACTTCGGTTTGCGAATCCGTTGCTGATTGCTTTATTGAGCGGTGAGTTCAAGCATGAGATTATCATTGATTTTTTATTAAATTTTGCGAATTGTATAGGTAATCCGCTAAATCAACAACTGGCAAAAGGTGTGCAAGCAGCTGCAAACGTTGCAGCTGCGGCAACGCCTCGGTTAGAAGATGTTACGGCTGGATCACAGTGTTTGCGTTCGCTTTTCGAAAGATTGAGACTTGCTGAACCTGAGGTGTGTTTTAGGTTTGATTAGTACTGTTCTTTTGACGTATTACCTCTTTGCTGTGTCAGTTGTCAGTGTCATTCCCCTTTTACATGAATAGAGAAATGATTTTTGCTAATATGGGCCGCCTCCCGCGATTGTTTCTCGCATTTCTCGCATATGCTATTTTACATATCTGTGAGGACCAGTAGTCTGTGGAGGGGCGCCTAGCAGCGACATTCGTTCCCCTAATCCTAGGCAGGCTTCAGACTTGCTCGAGCCTTTCTGATCCGCCACAACCCGCCTGGCCCTCCTGTACCTACCCAAAGCCACAGTCAGTCTACAGTCGAGTCATGTAGCTTATACGTATACTGCAGAGTACGCGCTAGTTCTCAGTTAGATAATAATTATGGGGCGTTTTTGTCGTTTCCTCATTATTCTTTGGCTTCGGAAGGTAGGCCGGTTCAAGAGGGTTGCGATGGGTACGGGTGAATTTGAGCGCTGTCTGAAGCGAGTCCTACATCATCCCAATCTGTAGGTAGTCATCAGAGTCATGCACAGAGTGTGGCTTACGCCCTAAGGCATACCTCACGCGATTCGGCCGAATCGCCACTTTCACGCGACTTGGCGATTTGCCAGATTTCTACAAATTTATCGTGCGCACTTCTCGGATGCATATTTGGGTAGCTTGTGTAAGTTGTTGCAAATGGAGCAAGTTCTGACCAAAGACAGCGCATTAACGACGAATTACGAAGAGTCGCCGTTGTGCCAAATCGCGCAGCGACCGGAATCGCGCGAGGTATGCCTTAGGCCTACCACAAACAACTAGAAGGTTGCCTATCTTGTATTGCTACTATTTCTATCTCAATTGGAGTTAATTTATGTGTTTAAGATTTCCATCAAATCGAGCGCTCTCAACAACGTTGAGCCTCGCTGTTGCGACTGGATGGCAATGATCTGTCACCTGCTGCACATCGCTATAACATCAAGGGAAGGAGCTCCGCAAGTTGACCCAAACCTTCTTCATCTCATACATGCTCATAAATCATCATTCTCATAGCATCGACATTGAACACACTCGCCCTGCGTCATCTACCTATCTTTCTATGTTTTCGCTTCTTGTCAGATACTCTACTGTAGTCTCATCTAGGCCTTTTCTTTGTATATTCTGCACTATGCATATATATGACTATCGTATCAGCACATATCCTAAAAGTTTATATCCAGTTCATGATGTGCTTTCTTGCCGAAATCGAGGCATCTCTCAGGATTTTAGTCTAGGCTGCGAGTTTGAGGTTTTTCTTTAGTGATTATCTTGAAGCAGTTTAGCAGTGGTCAGCAGTCACTGTTCTGCTCATTAATGTACGTTGTTAATATCTCTATTAATCAGTAATAGTTCTTTAGATCACAAGTTCTAGATAATGTATCTTAATAGTCATTTCTATAGGTCTAGATAGCATTTATTGGGGTGACATGCTCTCCTTTAACTTAGGAAAAAAGAGCTGTAAAAGTCATAGTCGGACAACAGTGATGTAAATGTGCTGTGTAGGTATAAAATATTTGTCCCTAGGACAACACTCAGACAATGCTAGTGCTCGGTGAGGTTTTTATACGTTATTATCTTGAACTGTAATTTTAGCTGCCTCTCGAGGGCAGACAATTCAAGCAACAGCTCTGTTTTTTTCAATAATTAGAGAAGACTTTCATTTGGATGATCAGAATTTCCCAAAACCTTTCCGAGCATTTTTAAACTCTCAGTCTTATTTTCTTTGTTCTCACAATTTTGTACTAAGCGGTCATCATTACTTACGTTGTTGTATTCTGTGCCTATCCTATTTTCATTGTCACTGTCACAGCATGTGTGGTCGTCAGCGTTGCGGGCTCATATTGTCGTGTGTTCCTTCTGGTTTTTTACCTCGTTTGCCTTATTTAGATGTTCTTGATCGATTTACTAGAATTAGTGTCTCTTCTCAGTAGGATTTAGAATGTGCATATTTGTCCCGTATTTTGGATCACTTGTCATTTTTCTTCCTTTTCTGATTATCGGGATGAATTGAAATCATCTCCAGAAATGGTCATTATGAAACGATCTGTAAATACATCACAATTGGGTCACGGCTACTTGGTAGTATCGCTCTGCCTCTTGACAAACTCCTCATTGTGGAGCTTTTGGCTAGATGAGCTACACTCATAGCTTTGGCCTTTTTGGCGCCTTACATTGAAAATTTTGAATTTACACAGTTCGTGTAATATCTGTGATGAATGTTATTGGAGCATAATAAAGTCTGTAATAATATGTACTTTGCATTTTTTTTCACGTCGATTCGGAGTACTGGAAGAGGCAGTCACGGAGATTCGTAGATACCAGTGGCGTACCGAGGGGGAGGCCCCCCCCCCCGAGAACGGGTCGCGAAATTTTTGAAAATTACTTACGTGGGTTATAAAATTGTGCAAATGACTCGTCTACATTCGTAAATAATTAAAATAGTCTTTAAAATTTTCTAAAAATTCGTTTTAGCCTTACAAAAAATTTTTTCGGAGCCTGGCGGGAATAGGAAATTTCGTGAGGAAGTTTTAATGCAAAAATACTACAGGCGTTTCCTTGAATTCTTATTCATTCGTACCCTCTCCTCCCCCCTCTCCCTTCCTCAGCCTCCTGCTTCTCTGTATTTTAGCGAAGGCAGCATGCGCAGCATTTTTTACCTTCTACTGCATATTATAGTTCTTTTCGAAGAAAATCCTCAACCGGTTCTGCTCTGGGAGTAGCCTCACCGTCTGCTTTATCCGCCGCTTGCTAATCGAACTTGGATGAGTCGAAAGGTAACTAGTTCTTCTAATTCTTTTTCTGCGTTGTTTATTTGTAATTCATCCATTTATTTTGTTCTTAACTTATCAGAAATTTCATTTATTCTGTCAGGAAATAAGCGTCACTTCACATTCTATTAGGTCTCTGATGGGTGCTTGCACTCCGAGACGTTGACGATGGGGCCAGGCCTAGGAAAGTAATAATCACTTCCTTGTTCTCAAGCAAAGAAGTTAATCAAGATTTAGCCTAGGAAACATTGCATCTGGACGAAAATTTCCTCCAAAACAGTGCAGCTGTTCCACATGTGCAAGTGCTATTAGACTATAGCAGGCACTATGCTTATGTGGTACGGATTCATCCGTTCCGCTCCTTCGAAATCGGTCATCACTGAATTAATCAAGAGCGAACGGAGACTGAATGAACCGGTCGACCGGATATGTGTGGCATCTACCTATAGGGCCTATGGCTTAAGGCACACCTCACGCGATTTCCGTCGCTGCGGGACTCGGGACAGAAGCGACCGTTCATAATTGGTCGTTAACGCCCTTTGTTTGAACAGGACTTGATCCATATGCTAGAACTTACAAAAGCTACGCGCCTAGGTATGCTTTTGAGAACCGTCCACGACGAATCTGTGAAAATCCTGCAGAATGCCAAATCGCGTGGAGCGATTTGATCAAATCGCATGAGGTGTGCCTTAGGCCTATAAAATCGTGTCAGTTGACTACGATCTTTGCTCCCTCAAACGTCACGAGAGCGTAGAAAATCGAAACGAATGCATCATTCTAATGCTCAGCTCAGTCACTTCTAGTGTCCTCTTGTACCTGGAAGTTATCGTAGACATTAAATAAAGGTTCGAGTAGAGCTGGGAGCTAAATGTTGTAAGGGAGTCAGAAGAGTGGGAATAGGTTGCTATTGCGGGTTTTCTGTTGTTTTTTTTTGAAGGGTAGGATAGCTGGAATTTAGCCTCCCTTCAACGAAATTATGATTTTGTGCATTCGCTTACAATATGCAAAACGCGTTACATTTCAATTTTTTTCGACTTTTTGCGTAAATTTTCTAGCAGAGAAAAACAAGCATTTGATCTGGCATCCCCGATTTTGGTTATCCATTTCAGTTGGCAATTTTATTTAAGAAAGTGAGGCTGTGGTTTTGTGAAGCACCATTTTGGGGCATCTGGTCAGAAAAGCCATAGGACATGTCTGATTGATAAGGAAATGGAACGCTGTATGCGTCTAGAGCACCTTGTATAGCAACAATCGATCTTAATTGAGTTTCGCGGATTCAAACAATTTTGTCTTGTAAAACTGTCTAGCAGTCGTGTTTATAAAAGCTGTTTCTTTCAAATCCGTATTCGTATTTTGCTTTCAAGGCGACGCATTTTCAGATGGTTGCCGAAGTAGTGTCATCTGTGCGATGTTTTCAAGGTCTTCAGTATGTGTACAAGCACCATAGGTTCGTTCTCATACAGACTTGTGTATCGGGATATACTATATAGTTTTTCAGTGATGTTCTGAACTGTGAAATGAAGTTTGGAGCCTATGTTCCCGATCACAAAGAAGGCGAACATCTGCCGGGATTGTTCTATCTTTCCGGTGAGTTACAAACGCTAGCCTGAAGTGGGAGCACGTTTTGCACGTTTTTATCGTTTTTTTTCTCATAATTAGATTATGTGTTAGTTGTTATCATCTTTTTCTTTCAAATGTGGTTGTTCTGTTGTTTGACAGTCAGGGTGATATGAACACCATCACGTCAGTTTCCCTGCATTTCTTGAACATCTTCCTAGACATGTTGTCAAACCATGGGGGATCTTTTGCAGTTGCGTAATGCGAACTTTTGGTTGTTTGCGAGAATTTTCAGTGTTGTTGGACCTAAGTTCATCTTTCCGGTGCATTATATATAGCATTTTGATTTTTGTACAGTCGAGTAGATTTAGCGGTAAATATAGTGTGCTTGCACAGAAGGTGAAATGCGGTGAAATTGGCGCTTGAAGAGATAGTTTCGACTGTGACGCCGGCCAATTGCGCGCGCAAGATACCCGCGGTACTGAAGTGGCTACTTGTTCACGCGCAAATTTCACCGCATTTCACCTTCTGTGCAAGCACATACCGCTAAATCTACTCGACTGTAAAGGGAGCGTTTAGAAGGGCTGTGCGTCAGGAGGTACGCCGCGCGCGGCGGCCGCTTCGCCGCGCACGCCGCGTCCCGATCTTGGGACCCATGGAGCTCCCCATATCAAAGACTCCCGGCGGCTAAAACACGGGGGTGAGGATGGAGGCAGACATGACTCAATGCCATAAGTAACATTGCGTCTGGAGTGCTGCTATTGTATTGGTTGAAGTACGTTGCGGCGTAGCTTCGCGAAAAATTCGCGCCGATCGTACCTCCTGACCGTCCCCCTTTAGAAGACCAATTATTTCCCAACATTTATTTATCGTGGCGCACGGTGCCATCCTACCAACTTACTTTTGGTGACAGCCCAAAAGAAACCTTTCTATCTCAAAAATTAATCAATTGAACTTTTCTGCCTTTTCTTTCCAGTGAAATCAAAAATTGGGGCAGATATAAATAGTATGTTAAGGTTTGACATGTACACATGCGAACTTTATGGAAAAGTCTGGATTTCAAAGGTATGCTAGCGAACACGGTATGTTTCTCCCTTTTCTTCATAAAGTTGTGGAAATAGGGTATTCATAAATCGTTCAGGTATGATCGTAGTACATCCTGACACTTCTCCAAGGGGGGTCGATGTTCCTCATTCTGAATCCTGGTCGTTTGGAGAAGGTATACGAAATGTTTTCACGGACTTTCTTATGCGATTTTGTTTAGGGGCCGGCTTTTACATAGATGCTACTACGGAGCCGTGGTCGAAATACTACAAAATGTATAGTTATATCACGAAAGAGCTACCGGAATTGATAAAGACATGTCTCCCAGTTGATTCGGATAGATTGGGTAAAACATTTTCTCCAGAAAAAATTTCATTTGAATTGAAAGAAATTAAGTCTGGCTTTCAGGTATATTTGGTCATTCGATGGGAGGCCATGGTGCCATCTCTATTGGATTGAAAAATCCGAGTCTTTTCAAATCCATTTCAGCCTTTGCTCCCATATGTAATCCTATGAACTGCTCATGGGGTCAGAAAGCATTTAATGGCTATCTTGGTGAGCATAAACAATTTGCATTGATTTAGTCTTATAATAACGGCCCTGTGAATCGTCGCCCGACACCATCCACAAGCCCGTTGTCATGTCTAGTTCTGATTTCATATATTCAGTCTTATCATACTGCCTTTTCCTTGTCAGAAGCATTGTTTTTGAGGTAGTGATAAGAAAACATGGGAGCAGTATGACTCTTCTTTATTGCTAAAAACGTACGATGGACCGCCGAGAAATTTGCTTGTAGATCAGGTCAGTCTCCACTTACAGAAAATACAAGTCATATACGAAGTTGCAGGGCACGAATGATCAGTTTCTCAAAGACGGAGAGCTATCACCGGAATCACTCAAGTCCACGGATAAAGTGAAAGTCGATTTGCGAATGCAGAGAGATTACGACCATAGCTACTATTTCATTGCTACATTCATTGGAGACCATTTTAATCATCATGCATCAGTGCTAAAGCACATACTTGAGAACAAACTGGCTCGTTGAGATCTTTTCCTTGTTGCATGGCTATTTTGTCCTACCTTTGTATATACACCTCTTCCGCGAATTTGCTCTCTAATCATATCCAGTCGATTGAGACTCCGCCTTTCCCACGCGCGCGGTGGGAAGTGATCAAGAGTATGTTTGCGAAAGAAGTGTAGAGTCCAGGCGAAGCGGCCGCGCGAAGCGGAGAGGCTGGGCTCCCGACACTGCACTTGATAAGCCCTGTACATAGCTTTTAACAAGTTTTATACGCTGCTATATTGTGAACAGATGTTGACAACAAGTGTTTTATATCACGTTTTATCCGCAAATAAATATCAGTTGTATACTACATTGATTTCTATAGGTCATTTACAAGATCGTGACGATGAATCTGACTGCTGTCTAGGCATCACCTTGAGGCTCAGCTCAGTCACTTCCAGTGTCTAAATACTGTCATAGGTGAGCAGAAAAACCATTTGAGTAGGGACGAAAACCAACAAAATGTGGTTGCCGGTAATTGCGCGCGTGTCGCTCGCGGTTGCACCATCGTCACGATTTTTCAAATGCTCTATGCTATAAGTTTGCTGGTGGCTGGCAGAATATGCCAAAGGAGTACTCGTAGAAATTATAAGCGCGAATGGCTAGTTCTGAAGCATCTTTCAATAAAGGAAATATAAATGACAAGATGACTGGAAAAGAAAGGTAAGAGCAGGTAACCACATTTGGTCAATGCAAAAATCACACTACTTACTCTAGGCTCAAACTGTAGGCGTGGATCACCTTAGTTAGGGCTCCGCACCTCTCTATCTCTCAGACTACGATCTCTCACCGGCATCTGTCCCTGGGTATATGTGGCCACACCCACTCCACTGGATCCAAATCGATTCTTGGAGAGCCTTTGGTCCACGCCCCTCTCACCGTCGGAATCTATAGATCTCTCATCGGGCGTGTGTTCGCGGGTTATGACAGTCGCTAATTAATCGGTTATTGGTTTTGATTGGCAATAACTCATGAAGAAAGAAAACAGCCAAAAGAAGCACGCTTCGCTAATTAGCATTGGTTATTGACTACCAATTATTCATGGTGGAAAACAAACTGCCAAGAGAAGCACTAATACAACAACCTGATATTGTAGCTATACAAAAATCCCCAAATCCCGCTTCGCGAGTAGCTAGAATAGTAGAAAAAGAGATGGTCTATGTCAACTTTTCGTGCTCTTAGCTATCGAATGGAACTTTTCCGCTCCAAAAGAGTCTTGCTCCGGCAGGCGATGAAAGCCAAGCCATTGAGGGAGTGGTGTAGTAAGCTAATAGCACATATCTCCACCCATTTTTGAAGCGCCACAAGTTTTCTCATATAATAATTTATATACCATTAGAAAAGCTTACAAAATGGAGATCCGACTTAGGCCGTCTCTTTTTTTCCTGACGCCCCTCTACTCGGAGATACGCATTCAAGCTGACTGAAATATGCGTGTTTTGAAAGGAAATTTCCGCAAAAGGAGCGGATGACGATGCTTAGTTGTCTAACTATGGTACAGAGCAGACTTTGCCAGTAAAAATAGACCGTCTGTTTTTCTCTAGCTTTCCTCTTCCTTTCAGAAATGAAACGCAAAGTGATCATATAAAATCCGCTGGTGTTGCAGCGAGACAAAATCTATATGTTCCAAGCTTCCGAAACTCGAATGGTATGTCCATTGAGACATAATTCCCTGAATAAGAAAAGTCTCCATTTGATGGCCCACTGAAGCCGAAACAATTAGAAATTTTTCATATCACAGCTCTGCATCACTTTCCTTTTTATTCCCAGTCTCGCTCGGCATATAAGCTTACGTCAGCATTTAGCTTAAGACTCAGTCACCCTTTCAATTTTCTAAGTTGGAGGTAACCGAAACCCTCTTCACCTGGAGGGCACCCTCTCCCCCTGTCGTACTTATGCTGCTGGTTTGCACATGAATTCGTCTGTTACTAAATTTTTGCGATGCCTGGCAGTGCCTTGGTCAGAAGGTCCTATTTTCTTAAAATATCTTTTGAAATTCCTTATCTTAAAACTAAGTGATCAGGAATGATACCCACAAAGTCCATTTAAAAATAGGCTTTTCGCGAATGGAACGCGAATAAAATGGGTTTAGTCCATACGTGCGATAAGATTTCGCACTCGCGAGTTCATTCATTCCATACAACAATGCTTTAGCAAGCCCATTTTTAGCTTGATTTAACCCGTTTACTCATCCATGTAAACTCATTCCCACCATACTAGCCGATATTCAGCAAAAATTGCCCTTCACGACCTTAGTTGTGGATATTCTACTTCCTCCGCCCTTTTACAACTTATAAAATGCCATCTTTGCGTGAGACTTTTTGAGACTACTATGAATTTGCCCTAAACCGAAGTTGTAAACTGCAAAGCCAGAGGGCAAATTTTTGCTATACTTACACTGTAAAAAACGCTAAGATTTCTTACCTGAGCTAGAAAAGCATAGAGTACGTACAACTCAACAGCTTCTGTCTCGAAGTCAGGAAAATTACAGATTTACAAAAGATTGATGGCATTGCAAATGTTTCATTTTAGCTCTTATTTCTTTCTTGATACTAATGTTCAAGAAACTCTAATCAGTCTTCAACTTCAATCAAATGAACATTAAACCATCTCAAACAGCATAATAGGAACAGTGCTCCTGAAAAGAAAGAAAGCCTTTCTTCTGTTAATCGCATTTTTTTTTCACAAATTTTTTGGATTTCTATTCGATTGAGTAAATGTTCGTGCGCAATCTGGAAAAAATTCCGTAACTTCCCTCTCGACTGAATTCGTGATTTGTATTCAAAATTAGACAGAAAATTTGCGCTTTTTGATAGTTTAAAATTTTCTTTGTCTAGTCCTAGTTCTGAAAACCAAGCTTCCAAGAGCTGTACAATGAACTGATTTGAGTCTGGATGAAAGATATTGGAATGTCTTTTTTTGACTCCAAAAACATTTACTAAAGTTTCCTTCATGGCAATACTTCACAGTTATGTGAAGTCTTTAATGTTCATAGAAACGAGCAACGAAACATGTTATTCTGCAAGAAAAACACTTTATTACTGCTTTTTCTTGACAAGAGTACAGCAAAGGCAGAAATAATCTAAAGCTGCGACGTTTTTTGGGTATCAAACAATGTTATTTGAAAAATTCCGTAATAAGGAGATCAGCAGAATGACATTTTTCACGATATTTTGTTTCTTGCATTTCCATACGAGATTAAAGCGTGAGCATGGAAATAGAGATACTGGCACTAGCTAGCGGCTTCAGTATTTCTTGTGATCATACCAAATACGAGTTTTGAAGCGGCGTTTTTGAAGATTAGTCTTCCGAGGAGGCAACAAAACTAGCTTTTATACAGGGTGTCCCAAAAAGATGTGCACACTGTTTGATCGTTAACACGTTGACGACGAGCCATTTTTTGAAGGTCTGTCCTTGTGGACGAACCGTTTCCGGGCATTTTCACAACCGGCTGCATATATGTATGCATCAGTGGCGTACCGAGGGGGGGGGGCGGGGGGGGGGGCGCGCGCCCCCCCGAGAATGGGTCGCGAAATTTTTGAAAGCTACTTATATGGGTTATAAAAATGTGCAAGTGACTTGTTTATTTTTGTAAATGATTAAAATAATTTTTAAAGATTTTTAAAAATTCAAATTAGCCTCGTAAAAATTTTTTTTTCGGGGGCGTGGCTGACGCCACGCCCCCTTTTTCCGGATTTTAGGGTCGGGGACCCGCAAAAATTTTGATGAGCACCCGAAAAAATTTTTCGGAGTGCGTGGCTAACGCCACGCACCTTCATTAGAAAATTTTTTTTGTCGCGCCCCCCCCCCCCCCCGAGCCGAATTCCTGGGTACGCCACTGGTATGCATGCAACTATGCGTGAGATACAAAAATGCAAGTGGGCGGGGGAGCCCCGCCCACTTTTCGAAAATGCCGGAAATCGCTTAAAATCAATGAGTTCGTACAAATTCCGGCATTTTTGAAAAGTGGAGGAGCTTGCCACTGAGGGGGTGGAGCTGCATTACGGAGGGCGGGGTCTAAACTAAGATCTGGGTTCCCCTCTCATCTGTGAGTTTTTCTATGCGATTTGAGAACGAAAGAATTCTTTTGTAGAGGGCAATGCAGTGGGCGGAGTCTGCCAAAAAGGGGGCGGGGCCGACATGAAATACTTTCGAGCCTAAATTGATTATGTGAACACAAATTGGAACCCTTGTGCACATTGAAACTGATATTTAGGGTGTCGCGCACCATTGCGCGACACCGTCGTCAACGTGTTAATAACTCTCTTGCTTTCACGTCTTTTGTCGAGCTTGAGGCGCCTTTCTTAGACCGATGTTGTTCAACATAGATTTGCGGTGTGGAGCGAATGTTTGATTGCTTTTCATTACTGTAAGATTACAGCAGAAACCTCGAGGAGGATTTTAAGCCGTTTAAAGCGGTTCTTGCCGGTTTTTCCCTCAGAAAGGGAACCAAACAAGCCAAAAACTCTTGTACTGGACTAGTCAAAATCGTTGACTTTAATTATAAAAACTGCGCTTCAGTATAGCTTTCATAAGTTATTACAGAGTTGAGTAACAACTGTTTCTGCAATGTTCGTCAGAAACGTGAATACGCCATCAAGAAAGCTCGAAAAACTCATGAAAACTCATGTAGTGAAATCAGCCGCTTGAAAACCTTGCCTCAGAAATTTTCAGATTTTTTGAAATTATTTCGTCAGAAAGCCTATTTCACAGTGACGCTGTATGCTGAAAGTTCATACCGTAATCCTAAAGCAACGAAGAGCGATTAGTGATTCGCTCCATACTGTAAACTAAGTTGGACCTCGCCCTAGAGAATGGTACTTCGAGTTTGGCAAAAGACGTGAAAGAAAGAGAGTTATTAATGATCAAACAGTGTGCACATCTTTTTGGGACACTGTATAACTACCGTAAAACGCAGACCTTTTCTATTTTGTTATCTATATAGCACGATTTTAGGTTTAGGATTTGATGATTTGCAGATTAAAAGAATTTATTGAATTACGAAGGCATTTTCGCATCAACCTAATTTTGAAAGCAGTTAAGTTTGTTAGCAGATATACAGGGTGTCCCAAAAATGTACCTATTGTTTGATAGTAAATAACTTTCATCCAATGAATTGTTTAGAGAAGCTTTAGGTAGCACTTTGTAGAGCGAGGTTAAAGGCACCGTCCACCCAAAATGGAGTCTATGAAAATTTAGTGTCTATCGGTAGCGGAGCCCTCAACGGTACAATTGCCCAACTCGTGCTGTCTGAAGTTGCTTCCAAAGCAAAAAAATCGCTTCGACAATTCTCTGCAATATGGAT